GGCAGCTGGTGGCGGAGGTAAGGGAACGGACATTGGAGTAGGCTCTGGAGTGACAACAGGTGAAGAAGGCATGGAAGGAGGGTCGACGTAGGGCTTCAGGTGTTTGCGGTTCCGGCGGTAAGCCCTATCCCCTGACTGTATGATGTAAGATCTCGGTGCACACCGTTCTTTGACCACCGCAGGGCCACCCCACTCCTTCTCGTTCTCCAGCTTCTGCAGGACGAGCTGACCAGGATTCAGCTCCGGGAGGTTCTGGGCTCCGTGACGTCTGTCCAAAGCTTGTTTGTACTTACGCTTCGACTCAGCGTCTCTGGCTGCAATCTTCGCCCTGTCGTAGACCTGCTGGTTCAGGTTTGACGGTAGAGTTGGCAGGGTCGTCCTCAGGCATCGCCCAAGAGCAAGTTCCGCTGGGCTCGCCCCCATCGGTGACACCGGTGTAGACCTGTAGATCAGGAGTGCGAGAAATGGGTCGTCCTGACTCAGGGCTTTCTTCGCTTCCACGACTGCTCTCTCCGACACGCCGTTGCTCTGGGGAAAATGAGGACAGCTGTCGTGTGTGTTCGTCTCTCCAGTTTACAGTCGTGTGTGTATACTAACACTGACTCAGGGCTTTCTTCGCTTCCACGACTGCTCTCTCCGACCCGCCGTTGCTCTGGGGAAAATGAGGACTGCTGGGCCGTGTGTTTAAATCCCCAGCCCTTGGCGAACTTGTGGAAACGGTCTGACACAAACTGGGGACCGTTGTCAGTCACCAGTAGTTCTGGAATGCCAAACCGAGCGAAGATGTTTTTCAGTTTGTACACAACAGTCTCTGAGGTGGTGTCTGGCATATAAGCCACCTCCAAGTACCGTGAAAAGTAGTCCACGAGTACCAGGTAGTTATGTCCCTTGTAGTTGCAGAGGTCAGTACCAACCATTTGGAACGGCCGCTCAGGTAGAGCTGTCGGGTTTAGAGGTTCGCTTGGTTGTACTGGACGTTTCCGCTGGCAATGGTGGCATCTTGAGACGACTTCCTGTATCTCGGAGCTGAGACCAGGCCACCAAATGGAAGATTTAGCCCGTTCTCGACACTTCGACACTCCGAGGTGACCGTCGTGGATCCTGCTGAGCATCTCACCTCGCATTGCCTTTGGGATTACAATGCGGTTACCTCTGACGAGTAGTCCATGGACTTCGCTCAGTTCACTGGAAACTGCGTAGAGGTCGCGAGCTTCGGACCTGACGTTTTGTATGAATTTTGGCCAGCCACTTTTGGTGTACTGTATCGCAACACTAATCGCTGAATCCTGTTGAGACTTGTTTCTCTTTTCGTCAAGTTTGCTATCCGTGGCATCCCATGACATCTGGATTGTAGCGACATGAGCCTCGATTTCTTCACCAAATTCTTCAGGCTCGGTGCTCACTACTGGACTTCGGGACAAGGAGTCTGCGACAGTCATGTTTTTCCCTTGGGTGTATACTGCCTTCCCGCTGTAGCGCTTCATCCTCATCAGCATTCGTTGGCAGCGGACAGGTGCATCATTCAGTTCCTTAGAGTTGATCAGGGGAACAATGGGCTTGTTGTCGGTGAGCAGTGTGAATGACGGCAGACCGATGAGGTAGCGATCGAACTTTTCGCACGCCCAGGTGGCCGCCAACAGTTTCTTTTCAATCTGAGCGTAGTTCTTCTCCTCCCTAGATAAAGTTCTGGAACAGTAGGCCACTGGCTGAAGATCACCCTGGTCCTCCTGGAGGAGAACTCCTCCAAGTACGTAGCTGCTTGCATCGGCGCTTACAGTGACAGGCTTCCTCATATCGAAGAAGGCGAGTGTTGTAGCTGACGACAGCAACTTCTTGACCTCAGTGAAGGCAGATGACTGCGCTGGAGTCCAGGCCCACTCAGCATCGTGATTCAGAAGATCGGTGAGCGGCTTCATGACTGTTGACAGATTTGACACAAGCCTGCCCAAATAGTTCACCATGCCGAGCACTCGTCGTAAGTCTGTAATGTTGTCTGGCTCTGGCATCTCAGTGATGGCGTTGACCTTGGATGGATCTGGCCTTACACCCTTCCCGCTGATGATGTGGCCAAGAAAATCGATTTCGTCCTTGTCAAACTTGCACTTGGATTTGTTCAACTTGACCCAACGCTCCTTTAGCCCTTGGAAAACTTTTTTCTTCAGCTTATCATGTTTCTCCTGACCGTCCGTGTGCAGGAGGATATCGTCCATAAAGCACTCAACACCGTCTATGCCCGCTAGAATGTCTTGCATCGTGCGCTGAAATATCTCAGGCGCAGAGGTGATTCCAAAGCAGAGACGTCTGTAGAAGTATCGGCCGAACGGGGTAATGAAAGTGGTCAGCTTCGCGGAGTCGTTGTCCAGTGCCAACTGCCTAAAGGAAGACGTCGCATCAAGCTTGCTGAACTTATTTGATCCGCTGAGTTTGTACAAGATGTCGTCTAAGATGGGCAGCATGAATCGTTCACGCTTCACCGACAGGTTGAGCTTTTTCAGATCTCTAACGCTACCAGACCTTTTCCTGACCGGGACCATCGGCGCGCACCAGTCAATTGGAGCGCTGATCTTCTCAATGACACCTGCGGCCTCCATGCGGCCTAGTTCAGCCTTGACTTCGTCCATGAGTGGAATGGGAATTCGGCGTGCGACGTTAACGGAGTATGGCTGTGCATCTTCTTTCAAGATGATTTTCACTAGCTCGCAGCGTATAGGTTTAGGTCCCACGTCGCCGAACACGAGGTTGGCAGAGTCTATTCTGTCTCTAGAGATCAGTCCCAGACGAACTGCGGCGTCGCGACTGAGAAGACAGTCGGTGTCGTCGTCAAGGACGAAAACACGGAACGCAAAGTTGCGATTGTTATGCTGCGTAGTTGCGATAAATTCTCCCACGCTCCTTATGACTCCACCAGGACTGCGAAGAACTGCAGACGTTGTTTTCAGCTTTGGACGAGGACTGAGACGGTTGTAGACGGCCTTTGACATTTTCGAAACATCAGCCCCAGTGTCTATCTTGAAGGATGTAGCTCTCCTTCCAAGGTTCAGTGTAACGCGCCATGGTGGCTCGCTAACTTCGCCGAAGTTCACCTCAGGAACGACATTACTGTCCGAGTCTTTGTCAACGGCACCTAAAAAGAACGAAGGAGTTTCCGATTCAGTGATTTCGTTGACATTGCGGCTGATGCTGCGACAGACAGTTGCGAAATGATTTCGCATGCCGCATTTCCTGAAAGTTTTCCCACACGCTGGGCAATTGTTTTGGGCATGACCTCTTCCACAGTTGCCGCAGTTAGAGAAAGTTGACGGTGATGCATGGCTGTCTCTGTGTTGTGAGTGTGTACCTGTTCTTCGGCCGCCTCTACCCTTGGGGTGAGCAGGCGACGAATATCCCCTCTGGCCGTAGCGCACTGCATTTACTGTGACTGCTGCACCTAGCTGACGTTGGCTACTGACCTGACCCTTTACGAGCTCGAAATGGCGTGCTGTTTCGATGGCTGATTTCAAAGTAAGAGTTGCCTCGAGTTGTAAGCGCTGTGACAGTTCATTGTCCAGTACTCCTAGGACGAGTCTATCCATTATGGTTTCATCTCGGTCCTTAAAGTCTGCATGTTCGGAAAGCTCGTACATGGCTCTAACACATTCTTCTATCGTCTCCCCACTGTTTTGTGCTCGTGCATGGAACTTTGCTCTTTCGTGGATAAGATTCCGCTTGGGGACAAAGTGAGCGTCGAAATTCTCTAAGGCAGTGTCAAAGTTGTCCCTAGGATCGTTACCTTCGACTGGAGCAGGGAACGTGAACGTGTTAAATATCTGTTCAGCTTGGCGTCCCATAGCGTAAATTAATGAACTTACTTGAATTGCTCCGGTCTCTGCGCTCAGTTTGGTGGCTGTGCGGTATCGTAGCATACGCTATCGCCACTCGGGCCACTCATGAGGTTTCGAAAAATCAAACGGCTCAGGAGGCTTGAAATGAGGCATTCTGACACTTGTGACACGTTATCCACTGTCTTCTGACACCATGTAATGTTAGTATACACACACGACTGTAAACTGGAGAGACGAACACACACGACAGCAAGCATTCTAATAAAGAGCCCGGGTGTAGTGTCTGACTTTTTATGTTGATCCCCGAAGTGAGTAACATTAACCAAAAGCCCATGGTATACGGGGCGCTTACGTCCCGTGATTAAAAAAGAGTAAGGTACAATACTGACTACCGTGACAACGTCCACCATTCCCAATCCCCCCCTACCACACTGACCCCCCCTCCCCCTCCCGTCCTCTCCCAATCTTCCCTCAGGTCCACCTGTGCGGACGGACAACAGCAGATCACGTGATCATCTCCCTGACAGAACTACGCAGACTGAACCCGGAGAATGTTCTGAAGCGAGGCTCCGCCCATAATTGTCCGCAACACAGCCAGGAAGTGGTCAGTTTCTACTGCCTGGACTGTCGGCTGCCCGTCTGTGTGCAGGTAGGTGGGAGAGTCTGTATCAGTCACAGAATTCTACACTAGTAGAATTCTGTGGTATCAGTGTACACTGTTAATTGTAGACAGTCAAATTCGATCGTATTTGTTCGAATTAGTTCAAACTGAGTTGGGACCAGCCTGCTTTTCTTTCATGGAAGGGCAAACGCTACCACAGTGGCACAAGTCGAACAAACTCGAGTGTGTACAGGGGATGTGTACAGAGTTGATTTGGAGCAGCAGGTACTGATATATGTAGATCTAGAATGCTATCGACATCCTAATGTCTGTATGATTCAAGAAAGAGGGAAAAAGAGGGTCTGCGGAAGTGAGACATACACACACACACACACACATACACACACACACACACACATACACACACACACACACATACACACACACACACACAC